TCACTCCGTATATCTCTGCCATGTCGTTCATTATGTCCACCGAAGTGTAAATAGTACGTGCTGATGTGTACTTGTGCCTAACACATTCGCTTATCAAAGCGTTGTTCACTTGCCTGTGATCTCTTATAATGTTATCCAACGAGCAAGTATGTACATTCCTTCCGCATTACTAATTGTTGAACCTTTAAATTTCCAATCACAATTTTCCGAGAGACATTTCAGCACATACTCCTTATTGTCCGATTTGTAAACCTTATATTGGAAGTTATTTCGTATAGCGTACAAGATGAGAGCAATCTTCAACACATTCTTGTCTCTAAATAACCGCACGTCAAGGGGTGTCGCTACATCAGTCATTTCCTCAAATATGTCATCTTCTATCTCCAAAGCTGGAACTTCAATGCCTGGTACAAAATCATGCATCATTGAATTGTTTTTGGACAAATCAACAATCATAAGTTGTGAACCATTGATGTTGTATGCTTGAACTTGAGTTTGTTCTCCATTACTCAGCCTAGGTACAAAGTCTGTGGACTGTGACATCTCAATCAATTTTATATGTAATGCATATGCTGTGACACGTGGTTCCCTACGCTTCAACTCCAAGTAGAATTGCAGGGAATTGACGTTCATTATTCGGATTGGGGACATCTCTGCATCTGCAAAATACTCAATCTCGATGCAAGAACATCGCATATCGACCTTGAGCTCACTCGCTATCTTATCAACAAGACCAATGTATTTGCAACCAAAGGGTACTAAGAGACCAAATGTATCAGAGCCATTCACTACAAAAACATTTACTGTGTCCATTCCTGTACAAAAAAAAAATAAACGAATTTTGAATAAATCTAAGTTCATTAGAAAGGACCAGGAACACATTTCGATGAAATCTCACTTCAAGTGCAGGATCAAAATCAGCTTTTTAGCAGATGAAATGCCAAACATTTTATTTCGGAACACAACCCGAAACACATTTGTGATTGCATGCACACATGAACATAATGTTGATATAGTTTGGATTATGTAGAGATTACCATGTGGTAAAACATATCACAGTTCGCCATGGCTGCATTTCATAGTTAGTGCATGTATTTAATTGTGGTGACTACATCCCTTTTCTATTGCCAACATTTTCATCATATCCCATATTCCACTTTGTGAATTTCATACACGGTAACATACGGATGTTTCACGTTTTCACTAGCTGGAAAATGTATTTTTTTCTTAGTTCACAGCAGCAATAAATATACACATATTGGTCTAGATTATAGCAAAAAAATAAAAATAATAAGACACATATAGCAAACATCAAGCGACGATAAATCGGACGTTGAATTATGAATGGCCGGTAGGAATTATCATAATGCAAATACGAAGAAACCCAATACATATTAAATACTAATGAAGGTCAGATTATAGGATTGCGACACTTACCCTCTTATTTCAGATTTCTAATTTGGACAGGAGGCTTCGCCGAGATCTGGGGACGTGTGAGGAAATGTATGTGATAGTGAATATTCCACCAAATGGGTTTTCATTTTCATATGCAACTGTCAGATTCCTGATTTCCTGCTTCAATTTAGGAAAATATATTAATAGTATACGTGAAATCAGGAATAATTCAAAACTCATCGGTTACAAAATGGTTGGATGGAATTATATGTAGTAGGAAGTATTTATAGACATAGAATATATATCATCTGTATTTTTTAAAAGGTTAAACCCTAACCTTAAGGGTCCCCCCACCACCCCTGCCCTGGAGTATCGTGAGGGAGGTAAATCGCAGATTATGCCTCCAAGGGTACAGGGGGGAAGGCTGCTTGTACACTTGCACTTACCCAAGAGTCAAATCCATATTTCAGGATTCGAACCCTTGACGCAGCAGTCTCAAGTAAAGCTGGATTTCTCCACCCTCCTCTTTTATCACTTGGAGATGTGCTCTGGGGGCATATCATCTGTATTTTTTGATTTTATTAATGATATAGAGTAGTTTCAAAAATAATTTATTAAAGTGATGCATATACAAAATTTTCCCTAGTTTAAAGAAGGCGGATCCCACTTACGATATTATCTTGGCTTCTCTGTCAAAGCTTATATAATAATAATCTCGTGAGACAAAGCATCTCATTCATATTGTGAGGTGAGGAATCTCGTGAAAGGAATAAAAAGAGTTGTCTAGTGCACATCAAAAAGGCCAGTCTCACTTGGGATATTAGCTTAGCTCCCTTGTTGAGGCTTTGGAATTAGATAGAGTTGGCTCGTACAAGTCAAATAAGACAAATCCCACTTGAAAATTTGTGATATGATTGGCTTCATCGCTGCATAGCTATCACATAAATTACTTTGTGTAGTGTAATCTGTGCAACTTGGTCAAGGCAACGCTTATAGCAGATGTTCATCATCGCAAATATATATTATAATGTCTCATGATTTATCGCTCAAATAATAATGAATTAAGTCATTTGTACTTGTTTGTTCACATCTTGGATTACCCGATCCTACCACTCATCTCACATGAGGTCGGGTCCTATGTGGAGGTCATGACATGGGGTCCGACCTCCATGTGAGAGGAGGTGATGAGCTCGAGTAAACCAAAGTATGAAAAAACAAGTACAAGTAGCACGACCCAATAATAATAGTTCCAAGCAAGGCATGACCTAATCGCCTCAGAACTATGAAAGAGGCTATGCGAAGTGGAGTGCTGATCTTTACAAAAATTTGCGGATGGAAAGGCGAGAGGACATACCAAATCCTAGGCTACCAATAGTCAAGGAGATGGAGGGTACATGAGGGGGAACAAACTTAAGGTTAATGGAAATTCTATGGCATTGGGGTGGTTTGTCGGAACGAAAAGGAAAAAATGGTAGCTTCTACGTCAAAGTCGGTTCAAGGGAAAGTCTCACTTTTCGCAGCAGAACGTGCGGCACTCAAAGAAGGGTCTCAATTTTGTTGCTGAGCTGTCAATATCTATTGCGTACTTTAAATGAAACTGTATATGTGTTGTGGCTAAGGTGCATAGGCCGAGTCTCCATGCACACGAAGGTTTAGTAGGAGTGTGCATTGTCAAACTTACGTTCTCATTCTCGAGTCTCAGGTGCTCACACATTAGGCGAAAAGTAAATGAAACTGCCAAGGCACTTGCAAAACAGGCTGCTAATCATTTAAAATGTTGCACTTGGCGAGAACCATCTTTTATTGTAAACGTTCTACTTTCATATATAGCTGAGTGACAAAATTTGCCATCTTGGTCTCAAACAAGAGATGCTGACATTTCGAAATGAAATCAACGAATGCAGATATTTATTTATTTCTGTTTCGTAATAAAAGGTACCTTGATAGTTTTAGTTACGCCTTTTCCAACTTGGCACTGGGCCTTGCCGGGTAGTCGACACACAGGTGAGAAAGCCCCAAGCCATACTCCACGTCATTTTGCAAGTGGCTGGTTCGCCGAACCCCTATTGACCGAACCCACATAAATGGCTGAGCCCCCAGGGACGAGGCGAGGTGGATAGAGGTGACTCTAGTAAGATTGTTATACAAGATTTCTTGGCAAGTTGGTGATGTGACAACAAACTGCACAAGTAACTTTAATCAATCGAGTCAATCCTAGTCTTACATGTCAGACTTAGAACTGCTGATGGTCATAGTATTAAATGGATTGATGTCTATGACAAAAGGTCGCAGCTACTAAGATAAGGCCACATGTCCGTTCATCCTACGGTTCTTACTTTCATCTACTATAAAAGCTCACTTTGTGCAATTCAAAATTAATCAAAATTTAGTTTCACGTACCATAACTTATACTACTATTTTGCTCCCAAAAAACGCCCCTCTTTTACATGTTGAGGGCTCACGTTTAAAGTCCTCCTACACATATCTTTTCTTCGCCAACTGACTAAATCGTCGAAGTGCGCACGATCGGCTCCATCCCTACTGAAAAAGATCGCGTATGATTAACGGTTTGTCCTGATGTTTAAGAATACAACTTGTGTAGACGTGAGAGATCTTGAAATCTGGTGACCATGTTGGAGGTAAATTTTATGCAGTCAATAGTCCGTCTTTTAACTTTTTTGTCTAATAAAAGCATACCTACCAACCGCAGTCTATGACTACAAGACATTTTTAACCCCCCGCCCCCGCCCCGAAAAAAAAAAAAAAGGAGGAGAAAATAGTGAAGCTGACCTTTGTTCCTCATTGGCTACTATTTTAGAATCATTTTTCTTCAAACTCATTTTCAACTATATGTTTTATGTAACCCACAATTTTTATCAACTTTTCCACCACACATTTCATTAACTTTATCAAAATTTACTAAAAAACTGATTCTCAGCTAAACCAACATTCTCTAACAAGGCTTTTTCCCCCCTCTTCCTGAAAAGTGGCTATTCTGATCTGAATTAATAAGACCCCCTTTTGCTAGTCAGCGGAGTAACTGAAAAACCAATATTCGCATAATAGACTATAGCTTTAAAGACAATAGTTTCTTGTATGTCGAAAAAGTGACATAATGTCACTTGTCAATTAACCAAATGTAGATCCAATCTCAATGGAGTATGAATACATTGTCACATGCACATACTTACAACAAAGAATTTTTTAACAAAATCCATCAATTTCTACTGTCACTTTTTTCTAACAAATTCACATACACAATAAATTTCAAAATCGAAATTTAGCTTAAAGTATTTTTACAATTCCTAGAATATTTGAATTGAAAAACGAACAAAACAAAAAATATCAAATAATCTAGTTTCATATATCTTCTAACTTCCTTTTCTTTTGTGGTTTCTTTTTCACCTTTGGCGGATTTTGACTTGATCTATGATTGGCGCTGTAATTCCCACATCTTCCACATTTTGCGCTTTGAGTTTTCTCTCCTTTTGATGGTATTCTTTTTTCTTTAGGTCGTCCAGACTTGGAACTAGAAAGAGTGTTGACTTCTTGACTCACCTTGTACTTGTAGGAAAAATAACAAACAAAATACCACTTCTGGGGGCTGACTCGTGAAAACAAAATAATCAGTACAAACAATGGTTTTACACAAATCAAATCTAGTTCTAGCAAGACACAACATCATATATAGTACTAAAAACAACTTTATTTGCGGAGAACCAGAATCCATCGACATATATCATCAGTACATATCAGCTGCCAACTTATGGCCTAGAAACTTGCCACATATAAAGCTCTAAACTAAGAAACCCTGCAGCAGCCGATCGACCTTTCTTACGAATAACAATTCTTGAGTTATAGAAACAAACCATAGTCTCCAACTAAATAGCTCGTCTAGTCTGCTCTCGACTGACCAGCACGAGAAGAGAGGATAATGCCAACAATAAGGCCATAAAGAGCCAGAGCTTCAGCGAAAATGAGTATAAGAATCATTCCAACAAAGAGCTTGGGCTGTTGTGCATTAGCTCTGTAAAAGAGAAGAATAGGGTCAGGGTAATTAATATGATATCTCCTAAAGAAATGATCAGGAAAGAATGCAGCCAATAATTTCTTCAGTTACTTGAAGCAGATAATGAATCAATACATTATAGATCAGAGTAGAAGGAACCCCCACTAAATACAAACTAATGGAAATAATCTCAAATCAAAATAGCCAAAAACCAAGGTGCCGGACTGGAATTACCATCCTTTTCCAGCTAAAGAAATAAGTACTATTCATGCAAGCCAATTCATATTCGCCTCTTGTTAGACTGCCAGGATAAGTTTATCATGGTTTAAATTAAATATTTCAAACTAAACAAAGTCCTCCCTGCATCCTCTGACTTACTATTCAATGTTCTGAGTTCTATGTCATGAAATGTATGACATACTATGCCTCGAAAGAAAAGTTCAAATATCCTACTCCAAAAGGAACAGACCCAATAAACAGAAAAAGGAATCCCATGAGCTCCCATGCTCCAGATAATGGAGAACCAATGTTTGTCTTGTTATTTGAGCGTTGTTTGGAACATCGAGAAAGGAAAAAAGTATGAGAGAAATTAGTTGCTTCTCCCTATTAATAAACTAGTTCTGGGAAACACTTTCTCACTACAATTTTTTTCATGAATATTGTCTACTGCAAAAACATGGAATGTTTGCCAAAAAATTTAACTACCTTCATCCAAAAAACTACTTCTTACTGCACATTTTTATTCAATTAACTAATCATTTTTCTTACAACTTCCCATTCAGACATAAACAGACTTATATATTGAGGCAAAACCTAGTGAGATGTGTTCATTAGGAGCCTTAAAGATTACGATTGAGGGCCATTTGTTAAATCTTAAGCCTTGAATCATTGAGGAAACCCCTTAGGCCCAAAATGGCCAAGACATATGCCCCCTTACACCTGCTCTTTATTGATTGTTTTATTAATATCCTCAACATTTTGGGATTTTATTTTTTCATGATGCAGGACGTGTTAAGGGTGTATTTGATTGTTCTAATTGTAACTCACACCTTAATACAAAAAGAAAAGAATAAGATATTAGAGAGAGAATAAGTGAAGAGCCGTACATTCCCTATCTAGCCTTTCACTCCTACAACTCAATAGACATATCCCTAACAAATGAAGTTGCAACATTTCAGACACAAAACCGGAGACTAGAGAATGAGACAAGAGTTAAGTAACTTTGTTCATTTTCTAAAAAATTTATGTTGGTGGTGTTTCAGTGTTTCTATTGCTTTTCTGTAAGTTTACATGATTAATAATTTGTTAATCTACAAATTGCTACTTACTGATACAATATGGAGGTAATTGCCTCGATATGCCATATATCATTTTTAGACAGTCACCGTTTAACATAGAATGTTACCAGTGATCTATGAACCGGCACTAGAACAACCAGCAAATTGACTTGCAATATTACTTAACTCTCGTGAAGATCACATTTATTTGAGAGATGTTACACGGTCAACAAACAAATATATGGACTTATAAATATTGATTAAATAATAATAAGCATCCAACAACAGTGGATGAAAGGATCCTAACTTCGTCCAACAATAAGGAGCTAAAGAAAGCAAACTGAACATTCAAGCAAGAATGCAATCAGTAATAATGCAGTTTACAATATTGCCCCCGTTTGACCCCATTACCTGAAAATAAAAATTGGGGGAATAGTATTTTTTAGAAAAATGAGTGGTTGAAAAAGAAGGAAAAGTTTTCGATTTACGTGTAATATTATTTTATGGAAGATTGTGTGGTTGAAAACAGGAGAGAGAAAAATGGAATGTAATGTAATTGAATTTAATGGGGATCAAACGGGGGCAATATTTGAGCAAGCAGGCAAACAGTAATAAGCGATTTTGCAAACAGAAAAGGCATGAGTAGAAACCAGCAGACAGCCAAACACTGTATATTATATCTTGAAGATCAAATGTAACCCTTTGTGCATAATTATTACAATATATCCGTTACCTCAGAAATTGGAATTAAAAATCACAATAGACAAATTGATTTACAGCAATTAAAATTCAATTAATCAAAATGAGGACATGCACCGTAGAATTCTATTAATTGTCTTGCTAAAGAGAAAACCACTCAAGACGTGCTTTACCAAAACCAATTCAATAAGTATCGACACAATCAAAACTAATTCTTTTTCATCTATAATCACAAGCATCAAACCAGTGTCTTTGCAGGTCTAATGCTTAGGTTAGGACAGCATATATCTATCTTGAAAGCAGATTTAAATGAATACACGGTTCCTCTCTATTGAATCATAGGTAGAGTTTAAATTTTTAGATGAGACGCCATGCAAAAAAACCTTATTTTATTCTCGTTGTGGCCCATTTATGAAAAATTATGTACAAGTTTAATCAAAAAATGAATCCAACTGACAGAATCTTAATGAATACACGGGGCTCCTCTCTACCAGCTTAATAATATACTATCGTTGTCCGGGACAGAAAAACACATATTGAAAAGAACAGAGAAACTTACCTAACACCAGCATCCCCAACGATTCCGATTGCCATACCGGCGGACAGGCCAGCGAGGCCACAGGCGAGTCCGGAAGAAAGGTGAGCATAGCCATCAAACAAGTAATAAGACTTGGCTTTAGGGTTAATTCCGGTACTAATGATCACAGCAATAATCAACCCATAAATACCTAAAACACCAGCCATAACCACTGGCACAATGGACTTCATCACCAACTCCGGCCGCATCACTCCCATTGACGCCACTCCGACGCCACTCTTCGCCGTGCCGTACGCCGCCCCCATACCTAACAAAATTCAAAACACGGATGATTGGGAGAAATTACTATTACAACCTTAGATCTAGAAGGAGAAAGAACGGATCGGTGAAGTTACAGGAGAAGACTAGGGCCGCGGCGGCGCCGAGGAAGCCGAAAAACGGTGCCGTCTCATCACCGCTGAAAGTTGACGACATCTTCCCGGGTCGGATCTTCTGAGATCGGATCTATATGATTTTTTTCTTTTCTTTTTTTTTTTTTTTCGCAGTTTGATTAAGACGCTTGTAATATGAAATATGAAATCGGTGACCGTGTCGGGGCTTTAAGGATTTATAAACAGTTATTTTATAATCTCGAGTCAAATATAGATCAATAGCGATTAGAGTTAAATATTTCATTAGTTACTTTAATCAATGAACTTTAAAATATTTTTAAGTGATCAGTGATCTTTAGCACCGTGTTTCATAAGTCATCGAACCTTAAAATGATTCGAATGATAGCTGAACTTTAACACGTTACGTTCCATTACTCATTCACCATGTTTCATCAGTTGTCGAACTTATATCTTCATCACACTTTATTCATAATGCGTTCGAGTAAGTTGATTTTTATGAGATTTGACATAAATAAAATAAATAAATAGCAACTACATAGAAATCATCACTGCGTTCGAACATTCCAAGGTCCAAATCTAAGCATCCATTTGGCCCCCATTAAAACTCATCAATTTAATTTAGATTTTCCTTTTTCCTATTTTTAATCACATAATTTTCAATAAAACAATAGCATACGTAAATCGAAAATTTTTCATTCTTTTACAATCATTCAGCCCCCGTTTGGCTCCGATTATTTTCAAATTTTAATTGTTAGAATAGTGTTTTTTTTTTTTTGAAAAATGTGTGATTGAAAAAGAATGAAAAGTTTTTTATTTGTGTGTAATATTATTTTATAAAAGTTCGTGTGGTTGAAAATAAAAGAGGAAAAAGAATGAAAATGAGAGCCAAACGGTTTGTCATTTTTCAAAAAAAAAATATATATATATATTATTCCTTCCATTAGAAATCCAAATAATGGGGCCCAAATAGATGTTAAATACAATTACATCGAACGATTGGCAGCATCACCATTGGCAGTGCTTAGGTCGTGCAATTTGCACAAATCTTTCCAGATTTATGTAGATCAAGCATATGACCTGTGAATGTGCATTCTGATCATATTCCATGACTTCGCATCTCGACGCAGTAGTTGTTGGTGCCTGGTTGCACAGTAAGCGACACAACTTGTAGCGTCTGGTTACACATGAACACGCCATCGTGCACGATTCTTTACAACGTTTTTCGAGCTACCATGGCTTTTACCTATAGCGATTCTCATGTCCCAAGGTAATACTGTCGGTGATGAAAAATTTGGCGATCCAATCGCAATTGCACATTCCAATTTCATTTCAAAATCAATATACAAAAATATTATTCCGTACATAGTTAACTACAAAACAATTAGATTAAAATTCCAAGAATTCTTATGTCAAAAACCTATAACAAAATACTAGCAAACGATAAAGTTGGCTACGATACCAATATTGAATATTACTTAAGTGTGCACAATGAAATTTAAATAAATTCTATACCTAAAAATTAGATCACCTTTGTGTTTAGTAGAATTTGTGATAGGAAATAACTTTGACTATTTGTATAGTTGAGGATCTAAGTGAGGATTGAAGCTCTTGCTCTGAGGGCTCGACTAGGAGCAAGGAGCTTGTGCTAGTTCGCCGTTTCCTTCTCCTTGGATGATTTGTTGCTCGTCTATTGCAATTTAGACTCCTTCAAGTCCAACACAATGCATCAACTCCCAATTGAATTCCGACTTAAATTCCAAAATATACTTCAACTAGAATTCCCTACTAAACTTCAAGTAGAATTCTCAAATAGTTTTTCAAATAGAATTTGGGTCACACTCTAATTCTAACTTTGCAAGGCTAAATACTCATGAGCAATTGATAACGAAGTTGATGTGAACCCATGTAGTGAGAAGCAATATATCCCGATCCCAAGCGCCTAAAGTATTGCATCCCAATTCCTAAAAGGTTGGAATCTACTTTAGGTGTAACTTTGCTAGCAACTTCTTCCTTTCCCCTTGATGGTTTGGTCTTACTACTCGAAACAACCCCATCACCTCTATTATCATCCCACTTCGGTTTTCAAGAAAGGTTAGAACCCAAAAAGTCGATGGATATCTAACTGCCCCTTCTAGTGGTAGCTAGGCTCTGCCCTTAAACACATGAGCTCGGCTCGTGCTAGTCACTAGCTGAACTCGTGGCTCATTACTTGAGGGGTGAGCTCAGCTCGCGAGCTCGTCGATTTTCAAATTTTTTTTAAATTTAAATAGATAAAAATAAAACAGAATTATACAAACCCTCCTACTTTTTCGGATTTGGGACCGGCTACTTAAATTTTAAGTGGGAGGAGTTAAAAATTATATACGAACGACTTGTACACAAAATACAATTTACCGTATACCACATAGATCATATTTGAATTTATATGGCATGCCATAAATTGGAATAGTAAGGAAATTGTAATTGTGTGAAGCAGAAGTGAAGAACCAATAATTTGAAGGTGAAAACGGGTGAGCCTTGTGGGGGTATTTATAGGCAAATGTTTTGAGGGAAAAAAATTGTGGCCGAAATTCGATCACTGTAGTACATGAGTCCCGTGAGCCCACAAGGGCTCGTGGGATCTCGGACGAGCGATCGGGCCAGCTCGACTCGCCAAAGGGGCGCTGCGCTTAGCTCCGGCTTGGGCTCAAATTTGATGAGCCCAAGCCACCCACGAGCCCCATTTTGACCAGTCGAGTGGCCAAGTTGACGAGCCGCTTGGTCGTTTGACATCCCTGCCCCCTTCCTCTTCAACTACCTCTTCGCCTTAATACCTACATATAGCATGTCCTTCAACTCCACACAATATTGTAGTTCTACCACATTAGCTATCTTCCTGTTCAAACCATTCAAAAATTGGGTCATAAGTGGATGCGGCCATACTTAGGTTTGTGCTATGCAGTTGCATAGTAGTCCACTCCCATAACCAACATGAAATTTGGTCTCAGGCTTGTTAACTTCACCCTTTTGGACTTCGTAGCTGAACATGTGATTGTATGGCTTCATTGACTCTATTTGATCTAGAACTTTCCATTAGCCCCTCCTCAACATACATCGAATTCTTGATAACTAGTTGCCTTCCTGGGATGCTATCAGAAGTAGTACTATGAGGGAACGGTGGAAAGAACCCCCATCGAGGAGTAATATAGAGCATGAAACCATAAGCTCCCTAGCAATGGAGGAGCTAGGCCTCTAATCACGTGCCTTTTGAAGAATTAGAGGATGGCTTATCGGTAGTAGCTTGATTAAGAAAACCCACCTAAGCTGTAGTGAAAGAGAGTCTTCATAGGGTAATTGTTATTGCTTATGGACCCGATCATGGATGATCTATCCATGTCTGTTGTACAATTACCAATGGTTTTTTTTTTTTATGATTATTGATTTGTAATTTTAAATTTATAGTTGGTTCATCATATTTTTCATTTGGTTACAATTTCTAATGACATTTATCCTTTCGTGCTTATCTTTATTTCATTTGTGGTAACTGGTAAGTGTATAACCACTCTTGTAAAGCAGCAAACTGGCTAGACAAATACGAACTCACATGAATGATATAAATGAATTTGGATTTTGGAATTATGAATATTATATCAAGCATCAAAATATATGCCAATTCTCTTAACGTATAATTCTCACTCGATGATCATTTATTAATGCTTCTAACTCATCTACAATTTGAACCTTTCGGTGTCAAATTTTGATCAAGTTTGCCGTACCTCTGGCCCCTATGTTCGGTGGTCATAACATTCTGTTACATTCTATCGCCGTTATAAAAGTTTCTACACGAGCTCTCGTTCTACAGCGTGGTCGCAAGCCTGCTAAGGGAGTGAGCTTCATATAAACTTCAAAAGACACCAAATGTCATGAAAGAAATGTGATCCAGTGCCATATGTTTCAAAAGCTGAAAACTTGATTAAAGACTGCATTTCCAGTGAAATAGCAATGTTTTGAAAATTGGCCCTGCAATCGATCAGACAAAGTTAAAGGGTCATGGGTTAAATGGTCGAACTGAGATCGACCCAACAATTGAATTAATATATAAATTTATAAATATAATTAAAGTGAAAGTAAATGGGCCAAAAAACCTTTTTTTTTTTTTAAAGTGCAAATTACACCAGTTACATGTTTTATATTAAATATTCAATTTTACAAATTTTTTTTATGATCATGCGTGTCTGTGCCAACTTACGCGCACCTCGACTAATGCCACGGTGTCCTGAAATTTACAGTCGGGTACTCACCTCAATGATCCTGAAATTTACAACAGAGTACTCAAACTGGTGACCACTGGGGAGCAAACCCCCAAGGCCTGACCACTCAATTAAACTATTTACCTATTTTACTTCTATACATACTGTATTTTAGTAGTATAAATAGATATATTCAATTCACTATACTTCTTAAGATAACTCTATTAATTGACGAGAATCTCTCCATTTTAATAAATTACGTTCAGCCAAATAATTGAAAATCCTCAATCAATCCACATATTGCTTATCCTGCCAAATCAGTCCCAATTCCAAACCTAAATTCTCTTTACCCTTTACAATGTCATCTTCATTCAATTAACACCAAATTTGTGCCAACTAAAGAAGTGATTCTATCCAGATTCAATATCCCTAAATATAATTACATACTCCAATTTTACTTTTATTCCTATTGTTATTTATCACCATTGCCTAGTCATTTTTCTCAATTTTTAAAGGCATATGAAAATCTCACTTTCTGAAAACCAAATGTATGTAAAAACTGAGGGCACTACGAAGAAAAATCATCCTAATATGTCTACGGTACTAATATATCCGAACTGCGTCATCTTGCAGAACATATGTTTTAAGTAATACTATTTCCGTCTCATTTATATAGGCTGATTTTTGTTTCTCATATAGATTAAGAAATCATATTTAATGTTATTGAAAAATTATTTTTTGCCAAAGGCTTTCCTAATCTACTCTTATTTATATTTGTACAATTTCAAGATTAAGTAAAAAAAATTGATTATAACTAAACAAATTAAATAAGGGCATATTAGTAAACGAACAAAACAAACCATTCTCAATAAAGAATCATGACTACATAATTGGAACAAGAAAATAAAAAAAGTTAGCCTATATAAATGGGGCAGAAGGAGTACATATTTTTCTGAGTC